AAAGAAAGCAGTGACAATTCTCCAGGTCTCCTCAAAAGCTGCATTTTCTACCTTGCTGTAAAAGGACAAATAAATTATACATTTCACTTGGTAGCAATCATCAGACTACTTTGGAAAACGTATCCTGAAGTGTTCACAATGCCAAATAATTCACAGTGCTGAGGGAGGATGAGGGACACTCCAGAGAGTTCCCATGGCTGCATAATTCTTTACATTTGTAAAAATTGGATCTTTTCAGTAACTACAATGCCTACATGCCTTGGCTAAAAGGAAAGCAGAACACATTTCAAATACAAGTAAGTAAAACTGATTTTTACAACAGACACATTTGTTTACACTAGAAAAACTACGATATATGGGAGAAATGAAACTGTTAAGTATGCATCTCATATCGACAAATTTCATCTGTCCTTATTTCCAAAGGAAGAACATCTCAAACTATCAAACATGGCACTGGAAAAGCCAAAAAAACAGAGGTTTTTGCTGTTACAGTACAGGACAATATTGCTGCTCAATATTTTTATATCAAAGGAAATTCTGGCACTTAAAATACTAGGTTCCGAGTCTTGCTGGTAGTCTTAACTGAGATAAGGCAGGAGATAAATACAAACAGGGTCAGATCAAGTTTTAAGCAGCTTTAAATACACAGTTCTCAGTCAATGGCTGATACTAATCCCACCCGCCCATCTTCTCCCTCACCCAAAAGCACAGTTGGAGACTAAACGCCTGGAAACAAAGAGGCTGTGGCCATCAGCTACCAGCAGAACCAGGGGAGCAAGGAGAGCTGTGGCAGTACTGCATCAGCGCTGCCCTCGCGGACTCCCTCGCTGCCTGACCGTCCCTGTTGTCTCCCCGTTGCTGCACTGCGAGTAGAAGAGACTACAGCGACGCTGTTCCACTAAGACCAGTGAGAATACACTGCTACAGATGCTATTACTCACACTTCTCAATAGTGACCTCCATCCCTGCCCATCATTCATCCTTAATTTCTGATTTTGGTTGGGTTTTCTCCACTGTATTGACTAATGCGAACACCACTTGAGTCCCTGATTTTAGAAGGCTGAGACCTCATAAAGGGTGCTGTGTTCCAAATCCAGCTTACATGATTTTCCCCCAAAATATTTAAATAATACATGCAAAAAAGCTACATTGTAAGAAAGCCCAGATCATCCTACCACACAGGCTGCCTTGTGAGGACAATTACCAGTCACATAAACGCACTAGTCTGTCACTGGTTGAACACAGGGATCTGCCTGTAAAGTTTTGCAAACCTTTTCCTCAATTTGATAAGCTATTCAAAGTTCTGGGTTTAGTTTCTGCCAGAAAGCATAAGTTTGTTCCCTGGAAATAGAGAGAAAAAAAAAAAAGTCCTTTTTCTAAAATTACTTGCGGGGAGGCAGGACAACCTACAGGTTTTGATGTTTGGCATTTGATAGTATGATTCAGCAGGTAATTCTGCTCCTCTTTCCAAACACTGCACTGTGGACCAAACTGGCAATTCCAATTCTGGATTATTTGCTTTGGCAACTAACGAGTTAAACCTTTTAAAGTTTTACTGCCGTTTTATAATAGGTTTCCATTTGAATGGCTAAATGCAGGAATGTCACAGACATCTTTTACTTTATGGAATAGTAAGTTCATAATTCAAATTGCACATTGTTATGCATGAATTAATATGTCATACTCTGAAATAAATGCAAATGGAACTA